TCAAGCAAGATTTTTTTTGCCCATGATAAACCATTGTTTACCGAGTGTTTACAACAACCGTCGAATCAGTCCTTAACCGTTGTGACGAGCGCTGTCCGCCGTGAATCGGTGGCTAAAAGGATAGAGACTTCCTTCCCATCCTAAGACGTTACTATTCGGATACCGTTTCGAGAAATTGTATAAGCATAATCAATGTTCGTGCGCACATCGCGAGAAATTGTGCTGCAGGTAGATGTCCAATAAGCCTAGACTATAGAGCTGTGAGATGTGTCAGTGGTTAGTTGTTTGGCAACACACGCCGGTAACTAAAAACCGCTTTCTATGAGGGTTAGTTTTGATACGCGTACCTCAGACTCGGTATCGAGTAACTGATAAAAGTAAGAGTAACGGTCGACCTCTTGACGGTAGTTAACTGCGCGTTCCTCAACAAGAAGCCATTTCGCTAGATGTGCGCCGTTCGAACTCACACACCCGAGTTAGCGTTCAGTGGACTAATAAGGTTGCGAGAGAAAAAACGAAGGGTTGGAGTCCACATAACACATGCAGTGCGTAGTTTGGGAAGCCAGAGATCTTGGCTTCCCAGCCTATCTGTAAAGCCGTGCGAGAACAACGCAACCAAACAGTGCCCAAGAGTTACAGAGAAAAAAAATCTACCGTGATTTTGAAGTGCACGTTGCGTGATTGGATTGCGACGCGCAATCCCAATTTGGGTCGTGAAGCGCATTGCAGTGAACCCTGATCACTCAGTCATTAACCAACGTCTGTCGTGACCCAGTAGCTAAAAGGGTAGAGGTTTCGACCGTTATCCTAGTGGTCCCAGATTCGACGCTTGTTACTTTCACCTGACGTGATCAAATACAGTGGAAACGCGGTGTTTTGAGAAGAGCACCACCCAGTTTTAGTCAGTTTCAGCTACGATCCTAGTGATCGAATCGACCAAGGTTCACTTCAATGAGAATCACGATCCATATTGAGATTGCGCATCGCAATCCAATCACAAGTGTACTCCAAAACGACCCTTCAATCGGTCCTTTATTCTGTTATGCAACCCTATGCATACGTTCAAGCGCGATGCACTGTTTGCGGAAACGGATTTTAGGTGGCAAAAACTTGCCGAGTATCAAACACGACTCCAGGACTCTAACTCGGTCTACCAGTTGGTGTCACCGCTCCACCCACGCACCCGGTTCCATCTCCGCCTCTCTGGTGACGCCGAGTCTGCCGCATCTGGGCAAGCTGATGTTGGAATCGCCCACAGTGCTAGAGCCGAGACTGATTTGATTGATTGGATTCCGATCAACAGCCGTCTTTGTGCGATGAGGCTTCATGGCTCTTGTAAAGTTAGGAGACGTCGAGTCGAAAAGCGTGCTCTCTTCGTGATCTCTGCCTACGCGCCCACTGACTGTAGCTCAGACACCGACGAAGATCAGTCCTACCAGAACCTTCATGAGCTGCTCCTAAGGGCTCTTAAAACAGACATCATTGTTTTGGCAGCTGACTTCAACGCGAGTGTCGGTCGTTTGCTGCCATGTGAGCGCCACCTCGGAGGACCGCATGGATAGGTTGATGTTCGCTCAGACAATGGAGAGAGACTGCTCAGTCTGTGTGTTGATCATCAGCTATTCCTCTCCAGCACCAGCTTTCGTCATCCTGGACGTCAGTACGCTACTTGGCGTCCCCCATCATCAACCCAGCGCTGATCACAGATTGACCACATAGCTATAAGTCGCAGCAGCGTACGCGACTGTCGATCATTTTGATCAACATGCGTCGATACTTATCATGCACTCGTGTGTGCGACCGTTTGCATGCGTTTTGGTGGTTCGCCTAGGTCAAAACACACCCGACTGAACACCTACAAATTGGAGGACCCAATGGTGAAGAAAGAGTATCAACAAAAGCTTCGCGAAAAGCTCTATCTCTCTCAAACGCTGGATGTTGATCAACACTATTCAAGTCTGCAACAAGCCTTGTTGGCGGCCGGTTTGTCCATCTGTGGCCTCACTCGCTCCACTCCTAAATGCTGGATCTCGGGAAGATCCTCAGAATTGCTGGATCGTCGACGGGCGTGCCTGCTGGCGCAGAGTACAACGAACACCGCCGGTCCATTACGCAAAAGCTGAAAGCAAGTCTTTGCTCTGGTCGTGAATCTTGATGGTGAAAACAAGCTGGTGAGATGGAAGCCGCTGCATCAGCTGGCAACTTCCGCCGTCTGTTTTACATCATCAGGGCCACGGGTTGCAATTTCCACGCTATCAGCCAGACGATTTGCTAATCAGACAGCACGAAGATCACCAACCTTCACAGGCGATTGGGTCGCTGGGCAGAGCATTTCGCTCTTCAATTCAACCACCCAACACAGCCCACTGCGGCACCTCCAGCCCCAATGTATGATGCTTGGCCTGTCTCCACAGCCCACCCCCCAAATGAAGCAGAGATTCGAAATGTAATCCAATCTTTGAAACACCACAAGGCTTCGGGTCCCGACAACCTACCATCGGCTCTATTCAAAGATGGTGGGAGTGTACTTATCAGCGAAATCCTATCGCTGTTCACGAAAGTTTGGACTGGGGAGAAGGTTCCGAGCTCATGGGGAGAATTGGTCACTGTTCTGATTCACAAGAAGGGCTCCCGCGCCGATTGCTGCAACTACCGCGGAATCTCCCTAATTTCTGTCGCATCCAAAATCTTCGTGTCGGTCCTACTTCGCAGGCTTTCAACGACTAGAGAGTATTCCCGAGAAGAACAAGCCGGATTTCATCCAGGCTGCGGTTGCATCGACCAAATCTTCACGCTTCGGCAAGTTCTCAAACTTCGTCACATCCACCGGCGGCCAACAATCGTAGTGTTTTCGGACATCCGAGCGACATTTGATTCAGTAGATAGATCTGCGTTGTGGAACTGTTTACTGAAGAAAGGTGTGTCCGACAAGTTTGTAACCATCCTGAAAGAACTTTACAGTCACACGTCGGGCAAAGTTAGGGCTTACGGCACGCACTCTTCTTCATTTGCTGTGACCAGCGGTGTTCGCCAAGGTTGCCCTATTTCACCTTTCCTCTTCAATTTCGCCATCGAAGATGTTCTCCAAAGAGCACTGGAAGGTGTCCAGGACTGCGGTGTTGAGCTTCTCCCCGGAGACGGACTCACGGACTTGGACTACGCCGATGATATCGCCTTGCTGGGGGACGACCCACAATCCGTCCAGAGCGCCTTGGACCACTTGGCGTTGGAGGCGTCTAAGTAAGGCCTATGCTTCACTCGGGAAAATGTAAAACGCTGCTCCAGGACTGGCAGGTGCCTGAACCCGCGCTCACCATTGCTGGACATGTTCTGGAGCAAGTCCCTTGCTTTACTTATCTAGGGAGTTGCATCACGGCTGGTGGCGGTGTTGGAGATGAAGTCTCACAACGGATTGCAAAGGCCCGCCTTGCATTCATCAAGCTGAGACATCTATGGCGTCGTCGTGATGTCAGTCTCAAGCTCAAGGGCAGGGTGTACAATGCTTCCGTCCGTGCAGTACTCTTGTACGGCTGTGAGATTTGGCCTATTCGTTCGGAAGATATGAAGCGGCTATCAGTCTTTGATAATCGCTGTCTACGAAGGATTGCTAGGGTGTGGTGGCAACACCACGTAAGCAACGCAGAGGTGAGAGACCGCGTGCTTGGGGCGAATAGTGCCAGTCTTCAAGACGTTATTCTCCGACATCGCATGCGTTGGCTCGGGCACGTTCTGTACATGCCAGCCCATCACTTTCCACGTCGAGCGCTATTTGCACTCCCAAGGAGCGACTGGAAAAAGTGCCGCGGTGGACAGCCGATGACGTGGAGAAGGAGTATGAAGAAGGCAACCTCAAGTTTGGCAGCAGTCGGACCAGTCCGCCTTCCAGGTTGGGGACAACGAGATGCTGAATCGCAGTGGTTGGAAACATTTGACGTCATGGCCCGCAACAGACATCAGTGGCGTCAATGTTGTTCTGCAATTTCACCATTCCATTGATGCACACAAAAGCTCACAAAACAAAAATACAAAATGGCGTGTGTAAAACCGAAAAATAGTTTCCCATATTTTTTAATCGCATTAGTGTTCCCCTCTTCTTCACTTTTTTCTTCTGCCATGGTTCTGATGGCACAATGTCTGTTAACAGACTGTGAATAATTATATAAATATATATCAAACAATGACCCGATTTGAAAAAGCGTGACTGCCGTCAAGAAGCTCGGTAGGTCTGACATGTTGGAAAGTGCGAGTACGCGCAATTGATAATTACTCGACGTACGCTAGCACCAGTAGAGAATGTAATGAGCAAGGTTTTTTCACGCCATATCAGCATTCATAATGAGTGATAAAAACAAAAAAATGTGTGCATCGATATGTGCTAGCGTGGACTCAACACATTTTAAGACTGCAACGCTGTAGTGCCATAGAAAACATGAGTTAGTGCCATGCCATTGTCTAATAGTGAAAATGGTATTCTAAAGTAGAATGGTTGTAACTACATCGCAAACATTCAATGTACATCATAAAAAAGACTGGGCGACCGTCTCCTAGGCTGGATACTCATCAAGAGTGCGCATCCCACCTGTTCGGTGTGCTAGGGACCGCTATTCAATAGAATCCACGAATTTCCAAATGCAGCTTATAATGTAGCATCCATTAGTTGCAATTCAGTAAAAGTGGAGGTTGTTGTACCTTTGAAAGGGAATGTTACTGAAGGATGACTTGCATTATCCAACAGATGGTTTCTTGGTCGTGACGGCTGCCGACATTCCCCGTGGTCTAGTAGCCTCAGTCATTATCTGGAGACGGATGCCCACGGGCTCTATCCGAACACCAGCAAAATAGAATGTGCACTGCTGACAGATTCTAAACGGAAGAAACGGCCACGTAGTGCAGCAAGTGTATGACAGACTACAGTTGCGAAAAAGCTAGCTGATAATGAAGTCGAAATGCGTAACACATTTTTCTAAAGATAATCACAGTCTGGTTAAGTATCTGGTAACAGCTGTTGTGTGAACCACGTACGGCCTATGGTGGCAATTACAAGACGCAATGTAGGAGGTTCCCAACAGACCATCTTTTTAAGTAAACGCAAAGAAAACGGATAAAGTGGAAAAATCTGAAAAATAAGATTTCAGAACAGGTACTAGCGCTGCAAATGAGCTATGTAATACGGAGCATGTGTAGTGTTTCGTTTGCATGTCGGGTACATGCGACGTTAAATGAATAGTAATACAGGTATCGACTAGGTCAAGCTCCCTCGCTAATTTCGCTGGGTCTTATTCGAGAAACCAACCAAATGAGGAAGACGCAAGCTCAAGTTAAAGAATGTCCATAATCAGGACGGTTTCCCTGTCGAAAGCAACAGAAACACTTGTGGTAAAATACAAACCACCTTGCGAAACGCTTGAGACGTAGCTTACACAGCGACAGCGAGTTCGGCCTCGTGCACTGCAGTAAACTGTTTACATTCGAACAAAACTCATGCGGTGGGTTTCCGCGCGATGTTTCGCCACCTTGCAATCACAAGCGATAGACCACAGGGGTGTTCACACTCATGCAGCAGAGAGGAAACGAAGACGGGGCGTAGAGGCCGTAAGTTATATGGCAGCACACTATTGCTGTGTACTGACTATTACCCGTTTCGGTACTGTGGAGTACGCGATCCGAGGATATTCACGAAAGAAACGTCATTCCGATAATCTGGATCAAACAGATGGATCATCGACTCGAGTAGAACAACAATTCAAGGCGGAACCTGCCCCTTTATCAAGCCTTCTTTTTCACGTCATTCAGAAACAACAATGCTCCCTATCAGCCAAAACAAAAGTGAACATTCCGCGCTGTCCCTTTCCTTTCAACATTTCAAGTAACGCTTACTTGGGCAACGAACAGTAAGGTGGCAATAAGATAGGTCCACCTTTGTTAACATTTATGAGACCCGATTCTCTGCATGATTGACTTGGTTCTACGGAGTTTACTATCAGTTCAGAAATATTCCGCAGTTAGTTCCACATAAAACCGAAAGAGAGATAATAGGTAAAAACTGGTCCACTAAATGGAGAAGTGGAGATGGTCCAACAAAGGGTTCGAGATGGTTCGATGACACCACAATGCATCAGCCCCGCATTAACAGCGGTGCCCATTGTCTCTTTTCGGTCAAAGCAAATTTCCATATTATATTCAATGTTGTTCGATGAAAAGTGGAGCTTGCGAATCATTTGGGTAAATTAGGCAGCAACTGTAATTTGTATTCCTTAGGGAGCTCGGAATCCGCATACGGCCTGTCACAAAAATAAATCCGCCGCAGACGACAGTTCGCATGTACCCTGACGCGATTCACCTCCAATAATCGCTGCCTATAGCAATATTCCATGAGCCTTTGCAGATCGAATACGACCGTGTTCCACCCTGGATGTAGTACCAGCGGCATATTTGTGGCGAACTGCCTGATTGTAGTGATTTTGTTAAAATTGCTCGCTCTGAATCGTCGTTTGACACCTCCGTAATCAGTCACTTCGATTTGGAACGAAAAATACCGATTCATGTTTTTAAATAGTAGCACGAAAATTGGCATTCGGATCCCTAACGTCTCTTCCGGATCGCTGGGACATTCAATGTATGTCGTGGTCACATTGGTGGACCGGATATCCAAAGTAAGCGACCGTATATCGGGATCAGCAATACGTCTGATACTTCCGGCCTTGGTACACGTAGCCCAGTTCAAAAGTGGTTTCTGTCCGATGCTGTAAAAAATGGACAGTAACCCAGCCTGGTACGCTGTCCGATACATCGCACTTTAGGAGGCCGGAAGGACACACACACAGGTGGATACGGAATAGAAGGTTTGAATGCAATCAATACAGTGTATGTGGAAAAAATCGATCACACAGAGCTATTGAGCATGTGACAAACAATGTACACTTGAAGTTAAGGAATACGCTTGGAGGTGCAGACATATTACACATTTCATTTTATGTACAAAGTTACATTGTCCTGCAAATGATGCTGAGGAAGAAACTGAGCGTCCGAGTGCGTCTGGCGTACGATTGCACAACGCAAATGGCCAAATAATGGTCAGAAGGCAGGAGGCCGAGTACGGGAGTGATCAAAGTGGAAGGTTTGCAGGTGGAGGTCTGAACGGAAAGAAATGAAATGAGAAAAACTGGAGGAGATCATGAGGTCTTAATATCGTTGGTGTCACTGCTAAACTGTTCCATGAAAGCACGTTTGACAGAAGTCACATGGCGTGCTAACCGGACAGCGTCTTCCCATCGCAAACCGACAAGATGGTGTAGAACAGGAAGAGTCAAAAGCATGAATGCCTGACCGTCCACTGCCTCAGCAGCTAGCCAGGGCCACATCTCTCGACAATCCGTTTCTCCGAGATAGGACGCCAAATCAACTGGTGACCAGAAGAGAGGATTGCTGGACAGGGTGACATGGGGAGCGTCGGAAAGAATTGCATTCAAACTGCTATCTTGAAGATAATGGTCCTGAGTGAAAAAGGGGCGATTACTTAGGCGATAACGATGGGATGAGCAAACGGAGGAAGTAACATAGGGAATTTGGTGGTTGATCCAAGGATGGTGCCTATACAGACAATGAGGTGAGGTGTTTTGGTTAATTGTGTTCCTATTGGCTGCAGCAGTGTCAACAATCTGTTGTTCATTCGCCAGAGGCGCCACATCCCGATCTTGAGCAGGCTTTTGACTACCGATGACATTGTAATGTCTCTTTAAGCCGCATGCAGCATTTGCGTTTATTTCACATTCTGTGCCAAACTGCCCCGGTGTTCGACGGACAGGCGGATCACGAAAACGACCTGAAACACGTCCTCTGTGGCGTTTTGTTGTTCTGCTAATGGGCAAGCAATTGGATACACCGGAAAACTGACGCATGGGAGAAAGTGCTCCACTGAGTACGTGTTGGCGCTGTGCTGCTGCTGCTGCTGCAGCGGAACGGGTTCGCAATCCGTTTGCAAACAAGGCGTTGGATCCACGACTGGAAGATTGTCCTTGCCCTCCTGAAGTAGGTGGCTGCACACCAAAGGGGCGTAAGGAGGCGAACATGCGCCTCTTCCATCCAGGTAGGCGGTCCAAAGTTCGCGAACGCATTCGGCTTCCACAGAATGAGGGGCAATCACAACTAGTCGGAGTGTCCAACATGTACCCGAAACTCGCATCAAAGAAGTTAACGGAGTCCAGCTGCTTGGGACCAGATGGAAATGGTGGCAGAGAAGGAACTGACACCGTGGATTTGGCGCTGACGGGGTTCAAGCTACCAGTTGACACTCGTATAGGGGAGTGTAGGCTGATTAGATGCGGGCAAGCTTCCAAGACCAGGGATACCTGAGGATGAGAGAGAATATACATTATCAGTCATAAGTATACAGAAATGGGGGTTAGGATTCGAGCAATTGCTCGCATAAGTCACTAGGTTCAGTGGTGTTGAGTGATCACGTGGGTCACAGTCAAAATCTCTACCGCTTCTTTCGGTAGCAACATGTACACGCAAGCCGAACAAGGAATTGGAAGAAGTGGGAAAAGGTTTTCAGCCCAAATATATTCGAAGAGGGACTGGACAACGCTGTCTTGCACCGGTTAGTTGTTAATCGTAGTACAAGAGCAAGGACTTACAAAGGAAGACGAGTGCTCCATTCGAAAGAGACAGTACTAGTGCCTATTCAATAACAGGGAACGCTTAGAAGCAATGCAAATTAACGGAAGTAAGTGGTGGCGCCGTAAGCAGCTAAATTCACAAGACCAATCGAGTATACATGAAAAGTAGGTGAATATCGGCCACTTTGTTTATTATGACAGCCTCAGATACGGAAATAACTTGCTGACACCTTGCAAACCCTGTTCCACAGAATAGACAGAGGAGCAGATTCATTGTAAGTGCGAAAAAGCACCGCAAGGAGAGATGCTTTGTTGCACCATCCCCAAGGCGTGGTGTAGTGCATAGTGGGGCCTTGTAAACTCTAAGTATCAGAAGTACATGCATTAAAATCTTAGCTCGTTGTCACGTAATTGTAAACGGTTGTACGTGAGTTGAAATACTGTCGAGGCATCCAAACATATGCAGGAGCTGCTGCTTTGACATGAAGTGAGCACATCATAAACTGGACGCCTAACCAAATACATCACAGGTTCCCTCAAGTGGCCAGAAGGACAGAGCGTTTATCTTGCAATTCGAATATCATCGGTTCGAGCCTGGTAGGGGACAAGGTGACCCTCGCGGTACCCTTAGCCTACGCGCGACTAGTGGTGGTTGCGTAGCAATAAACCATCGGTAGAGCATAGCGACGTACTTCTGATGTATTTCTTCTTTTCAAACTGGCAGAAAAAAATTGAGGGTTATAGGATACCAGCAAACGAAATCGCTGGTGGGCACCTGGAAAGGGACGCCGTTTTTTGTGCCTGATAATATATTACCATAGATTCCTGATGGCATGCACTGAGACGAGTGGCCTCGGGATACCGTCCACTCACACGTAAGTACCATCAGCAAAAAGGAAATTAAAACAACTTCCCACAAAGCACTGGTGCTGGTAAGTAAATCACAGATGAAGTACTTCAGGAGCGGAAGAGCGTGTATAGCACATTCTTTAGGAAAACCTAAGGGTCGAATAAACATCGACCTAGGTCATAGCAAATAGATTACTAAAAGAGGACTACTACAGCCTGTGGGTAGCCAAAATCAATCAATATCCGGTGGAGCGAGGCACCAAACCGATCATTCATGGATGTCCATAGCCCATTAGTCGGTTCTGGTGGGAACCGCTCCAAAACGAAGCACTCGAATGCAACGTTCGAAATCTGTTGTAATGCAGCAGTCGACAAAACTCTTTGGTGAAAAGCACCTGGTACATAGCGTAGCAGATTTATCGCCGCAAAAACACATAAGCCTAGATGAAGAGAGAGTTTGTATGCAATAGGGCAGTTCGGATGCTATCTTTCAGCGAGGAATTTCGAGAATAAAACAAGAGAAGTCACCAATTTCCAGCCAACTCCTGGTTGAATGGTATATCAGGTACCACAGCCCCACCTTAATCGAGCACATCGTGGCTTTGGCCTCGTTTCCGGCGACTAGCATTCACCAACCAAAGCCATGTTCACCACTGAAGCAACCGCGGTTGACCGACCAAAGTGCGCCGAATTAGACAGGCTGCATTCTAACAAAACGATAACGTGCCTCAGATGGGTCAACTACACACACGGCGAATTTCACGTTTGTAAGATGCGCAGATCAAATAATACAGCACTGATGAGAATAATCACCTTGGGAAAACACCTTATGAAGAGGCAATAACGAGTGTGCAGCGAAAGTGAAAAGAGGAGAAGAAATTTGGCCTAGAAGATTAGATGCACGTTTAGGGCGGTTTACAGACACACCAAAGGAAGCAAACTGTTTCTTGGCAAGCAAAGCGTGAGCACGCGAACGCCGTGCTAATACCAATCTGACTTAGAGAGTAGTAGGGAAATTTGTCGTGTTTTTGGGATCGTTGGCCGCAGCCAGATTCAGTCAGACATCCAGCATACATCTGGATAAGCGCTAAGCGATCGGTTCGCCCAATAGGGACTCATCAGTAACATGCAGGCTTCAAGCTTCACCGAACAATGAACGGAAAGCACGAGAACGTTTTCCAGAAGAGTGGATGCCTAAGCTCAACAAATGCATACAAAAAGAACTTTGGTCACAAGAATGAGTATGGATTTACCTGCCTACAAAATTCTTCCACTGCTCGGGCTTTGCAACACACCTCCACAGGAGCTTCTATCTTCACGCCCCGTCGGGGACAGCGAACACTCAGCAGTACTACACGCATATTGGTCCGGCGTTGCTCCAAGGCTTCGCGTTCCGCTTGCCTCATATTCGCTTTGGCCGACTGGAGAGTAAAGCGGCCACGGGAAGCATACCCAAAGGTATGATTTATTCCAGCTGTTCGCTCCGCGGAACGGAAGTTCGCTAAGGCTGATGACAGTCCACTGACCCAATCGGCTTCAAACATACGAAGTATACGGATTGGTTTGTATGCCACGTTGACCAAGCGGGTGAGTAAGCTGTGCATAACGCGTGCTGTGGGTCCTGGTCCGAAACGTTGTGGAATCAAGTCCAAACTCGCCTGAAAGGAAATATATGGAAGTGATGTGAGCAAGTAGTTAAAGAGGTAGCAAGTGCAGTTGAGTGCGGTGACGAAATCCCCTAGTACTAGTATCCTCAAACAGAACCGATGAATCGGGAGGACAGACACATTCTCACATGAACCAAAATCACTCTGTCAGAGGACGTGATTATTGACCAAAGCGGAACAAAAAGAAAAGGCTTAAAGGGAACGAGGGGCGAAACATGCTAAGGAGAAGAGCAGGTGACCAAATGGTAGCATCGTCAATGCGTACATGTGACGGTTTGGGGTTTCAAGAAACGATGTAGATGAAAACGGATGCATTCAACAACAAAAAAGTTTAAAACTGCGGCCGTGCCGAAGTAGCAAGTTAACTGGATACTCTGACAAGCTGTGTTGATTGACAGGAAAGTTAAATCGACATGGCGTTGTCAATATCTGGAAGCGAAACAGATAAGAAATCAGGGATCCCTATTTCTCCAAAAACTGGCAATCTCTTTTCGAAAAGGTATCGGGAATCAGTGAGAGCCCGCAGAGCGCTTCGCTATCACACTAGACAACTTCGTAGGAAGCCATAAGTATGTATGTAATCTTAGCAGTCTATCAAGTAGACAAAAAGCCAACAGAAGCCATAAGGTAAAGGAGATAATATTTCTTCATGCACTATAGCGTTCAGCATACTCAATCAAAATCGAGGCTGTATACGCCATTTGCGTTGTTTCAGGACACAGATGGCCCTGGTACACCTAATTTGAGCGTTTATATATTGAAGTTGAGAATTACAAAAAATCGTTCGAAATTAAAACAATAAATCAGTATGTCCGGAAACCAACGGATTAAAGTCACGAATCACCGGAAACATTATGCCCAACATAATCTGATTGTAATAGTGATTATATAAGTAGATGTTAATCAGATCCAGAGTCAATCGGACAATTATTACAGGCCCGGAAAAGCATTGCGCGGCCGTTTCATCCTTCCATTAACCGTCAACAGTGCGCATTCCATTTAGCCCCTGTGGGGCTAGAACCCGCAATCAGACGGTTTTCAGTCCGTGGTAAAGAACACTGGGCTACCCTGTCCTCCGCACACCAGTGGCTAGTGGGCGGAACTATATCACATCTGGCAACTTAGTCATGATGGCTGTTACTATCCCTTGCAGCCCAGCGGCCTTCACTACGGACTAGAAACAGTCGAGTTGCGGGTTTGAACTATAGAGATCGGAAGGTATGCACACTGTCAACAGAATGATGAAAGGGTCGTGCAGTGCTTTTCCGGGTGTATGATGCCTGTCTGAGTGGGTCTAGAGGTGAACTTCACTTATATTATTCAACTCTCATTACTACTCCCTTGTAATAAATTCCCGGTGATTTATGAAGCACAGGTGAAACATCAACCGACCATCACGATACCACTTAGGTAACGTAGCGGAGCTAGTGTTAGTTAAATGGAACCATTCAGTGTGCTAATAACAGTCGAGACATCTGGACGCGAATCGACACACCATTCCAAAAGGATTGCCCTCAAACTTTTGTGGTTATCAGTGGAGTTTCAGATTCCCCAAACATCATAAAGCTTGCACGCTGCCACTATTCAAGGATCCAGAAACAGCAGTGGAACAACCGGTTGGCTTGCTGAACCTCCTCGTGGTGCCAGCTGTGGTTCGGGATTTTCCCGTTCCAGCAAATGGCTCGGCGGCAATGTTCCAGGACGTGGTGGGTTTTCGCCTGGCATGCGCTCTCCGTTTAACAACACTATGACGTGGCGGACGTGACTCGCCACTAAATAAAGTCGCTGTTCCTTGCTTCATCCTGGCGAAGCATTGTATTACAGCAACTTTATGCTGTAATTCTGGGGAGCATTAGGCTTCTGTTTGAAAAAGGAACAAACGAAAGGCGTATGAACTGAACAATCAGTCACCGGCTCCCGATGGGCGTGATTCCCTGAATTCGCTCCGCAGCCTTACGCGTAGGCTATTCAGCCAAAGGCTCGGGGTGGTGTCCCCTAAGTCAACACCCTACTTCGGCTTGGGCAACCGGGTAGTATCTCGCCCTCTGACGAAACCATGGACTTTGATGTGTTGTTTTCTTTTACTATTTCTGCACCTTCTTTTGAGTCCCATGGTTTCTGATGGCTCTATGTCTATTCGTAGACTGCTGCATATATATATATATATATATATATATATATATATATATATATATATATATATATTGTGGAACAACCAAACTGAAGGACATGATGCGCACTGCAGTTAGGTGCAAATATGAAGCGGATGTCGAAAGGAAATGACGAGAAAAAGCAAAATTTAAGTTCAGTTCGATTTAGTGAGTCGACTGTGGTTTGCGGATGGTGGTCATGATCCAAACCACCAACACAATGGTAATTAAGAGCAATGAAGAACGAGAAATACTAAAACGGAAAAAATCCCGCAACTGCAACGGTCAGAGGCGTAAGAGGTCAAAAGCGTCGTCGAAATCCGAACTGTTCCATGAGGTGGAACCTGGCGTTTTCCATTCAATCCTGCAAAGAAATGTGAATGCTTCGACAGTTGTTGCATCCCTTAACAACCGGTACATATGCCGTTGCATGCAGAAGGACTGATGACTTGCTGTTGAACTTGAAAAGGTACACGACACCTCACGACGCCAAATCACGCACGCACGTCACGCGGACCGCTCATGTTGCCACAGTTAAGTGATTAGTTGAGACGCCGCTGCTAGGGATTGGCGCTACTGTGTTCTCTGACCGGCAGTAACGTGTAAATCAATGGGAGAGCGAGCGTCTTACGCAAACGTCCGCTGTTGGCATACACTAGAACCCGGAGGCATAACTCTGTGCGTGAGAAAACAAACATATTTCAGTCACAAGTACTCGTCTCGAAGAAACGCATGACAGCAAGCCAGACGACACAGGCAACCAGAAACGTGGCTGCAATGAAGCAAGAGGCTGTGAGATAAGGTATAAACGACCCCGAATGGGATGGCCGATAGTATGCTAGAGATGAAAAAAGTAGGGTTGCACAACGAATTGTAGATCGGTTACCAAGCCGTGGGATCAAGTTTACTTGAGGCTGAAGTTGCAAACGAATGTTCTGGGAAGGGATGAAGACGGTGGAACATTATATTCACACAGAATAACGTGGATGAGTATTAGATGGCTGGGCCACGTGTTGCGCATCCCAGCCCACCGACTCCCGCGACGCGCGGTTTGCGCGACAGGGTTGTGGATGGAAGAAGAGGAGAGGTAGTCAAGCGATGACTTGGTCTAGAGAAATGAAGGTCCTTACGTCGAAGTTGCCTTCGGTTGGAGTTGCTCGGCTCTCTAGTTGGGGACCGAAAGACGATGAACACGTTTAGCTGGAAACACTTGTTGATATGGCTAGGAGCCGACCTCAATGGCGTTTGTGTTTTGATTTTCCTTGTTCCTCCACCTCCGGCCTAGCTTCTCCCTCCAACCACGATCTCAATTATTAGGGATGATATTACTACTTTGTGGCACAATAGGCGGCTGTCAGCTCTCCGGACCGATGTACATCCGTTACTGGTGACTCAGCTGGCGTACCTCTGTTTCATGTTCCTTTCTTTACTTCTGTATTGCGGTACAATAGCTGAAGTGTTTTCCACCTGCAGCTAACCACTACAATGATGATGATGGGTATGTAGGTTCACATTACCCAGTGAATGTATCGGAGAACAACAGGCAGTAGTTGACCACGAAAATTGAAATGGGGAGATAATAGTTTAGTGAACTCATCTTTTAGTTCCTGCATAAAAACAACACAACTGAAACTTACTCTGCACAAAAACGGTCCAAGGTAGCACTTCGTATTAATGTACACTGCGGGACACAACTCTTCCGAGCCGTAGGCGACCTTCAGATACTGCAAGTCGTGGGTTGGCCGGAGATTCACGTGCCATAATAAGGACGATTCGTCAACCTTACGATCGGGTAGAACTTGCGCAGAATCACCAGGGGATTCATTCGCGCAAAAGTCACCATAACCGGCGGGAGGAACAATGGGATGGCCAACAAATTCGGCCCAACCGACTGGATACAGATCAGTTGAACGTCCATCCACCATAATGGGATTGATGGGTTTATCAGTAGACGGATCACGAATGTCCAACAGAAGCCACAGCAAATGCGGTTCGTCTACTCTGGTAACGGTGGCTGTACATAGTTTGGGGCCAATGTCAGACACTGTGTCATCGGTTTTTGGCACAAAATCAGGGATAACAACCTCGAGTTTCATGCCTAAAAGGAATCGAGTTTGATTGTGGTCGTTGATGTAAGTGTTTAGTTCGATATCCGGTGGATCACTGGGGGAGACGAATGGGGGGTTCATACTGAGATTTGACTGTGAATGAGCATTCGAGTTTGTGTCAGGAAAAGGTACATGAGAAACCGGTATTCCTTTGAAAACAGATTCCGAAGGACAAAATAAAGTATTGGTTGATGTCATTGAAGAGCAATCATTTGGTGGACTATGTACAGGTTCCGAAGTATCGGGTTTCAACTCAAACGTCTGCTCTGTGGATGGGGAGGAATGAATGGCTGTGGATGCGGATTTGCATGAGCCATTTTCAAGTTTAACTGGACGGAGCTGTTCCGCACCAGAGAGGAAAGTTAGGTAGTTGGTCCAAGTGAAAGGCCTAGTAGAGGGCCAACCGGGTGGAGGGACTAAATGCAATCCCCGTAGCTGACTCGTATTCACGGGCATAATTTCCGGGGAACAGGCGTGGGAAACGAAGCGAATGTGAGCAGCTTCCGAAGGTGATCGTTGGTTTTCGTTCTTCTGCTCATATTTACAGCCAGGCAGGCCTCGCATAAGGTCATCCAATTCCACGAGAAAATAACGTGAATTGAACACCTGAGGGAGTAGAAAAAATAACAGAAAAATATCAGTCGGTTGTTGCATCTTTTGCGGGTCTAGCATCGGCCAAAACAGGCGGGCACAGTGAGTTAACAGCAGGGGGGGTTTCGACAGAAAATACTTATTAAGAGCATCAGGAACAAAGAACATTCAATCACCGGCGTTGGGCGAATACAATGGTGCCCAGTATTTTTAGGGGTAAAGTTAACACTGAATGCGATCAAAAATGCCGCGAAGTTTAGGGAGAAATAACTGAGGTCGGAGAGTGGACACAAAAAAAGTACAAATTAGTAGAAGGCAGCAATAGTGTGGGACATATAGTCAAACGGTGCATTCAACTCTCTTCTTCTTGAGCAAGGTGGAAGATTATGCGCGAATCTGACAACACGTTGACGTGCTGCAGAGTGAAGCATCACTTATAAATGAATAAGTAAAATGAGAACGATAGGAAAGACCAATCACCTCCGACCCATAGCATCCTGTCAATCCGGCATCTGAACTAAGTCGTCACGAAAAAAGCCATCAAGTACATTTGGAAAAACGGATGGTGAAAATCGGCGACCGTTTTGGACGACATGAGAAGCACACAGTCGAGGGAAACGGACTGGTGGTCAGTGAACAAGTGTAAAAGTGCTGTTAACGACCAACGCGGGCGGTCCCGTGTGTCAAACATACGAAGATGATGTATGTTTGTGTGAATCAGTATTCAAACAACAGGGGTGGCGCAAAAGCGAGGCAGAGGAATACCTACTACTCGGCTGTAAAGTGAGAATCCTCCAGCCCATGGTACATAACACTACCATGGGGCGAAATTCGAAATGGTGAGGCGATGAAGCAAATTGCCTAACGTAAATGACCAGGATAAACGCAAGTTCTAACCATGAACATCATAAGCAGTGCGAGGAAAGTCAGCATACGGGGAACAGAACGTATCCGGCGGAGATAACATCCTGTATGTGACTGCCCGTACTCAAATCCTGGATATATAAGAATGCACGTAAGTGACAAAACAAAGATCGAAGGTTTAAACTTTAAACATGTAACTTTGTTCGACATATTTGGTGAGAATAGGTCAGAAAATAGCGAAGGGTAAGTAATTATTAGTAGGAAGTAACTAGAACACAATAGGTGGTCTCGAAGGTTTCAGTGAGCGCGCAGATCGAGCAGTAAAGCGTCAAGATGTAATTGCTAAAATCCAGTTTTGTTAAGAGTTCAATCACAATAAGCTAAAGCTGCGGATGAAATTGCAGCGAATTTACAATGGAAAATGATGATAGCAATAAAAGGCGGGGAAAAGATAGAAAAGCGAAACAGATGACAAAAATACACTTGGAACTCAGAGGAAATACGCAAAATTAGAAAGGGAGAAAGCGCGAGTGTGTAAATGGGTTCGTGACTTGGGCATGGTTGGTTTACATGTTATCGGTCAAACAAGAACTTCATCCGAGTTAGACGCAGTGTGTTCTAAACCATACACACTGTGTTAAGCTTAATAAACATTTAAAGGGCGTGATGTAAACAGTGCGGAGGATCAGTCACAATGACGATTTAGTGTAACGCAGTGAGCCTTGTCGTCAAACGCCGCTAGGTCAACCTGTCATTGGGGATGCACCAGGTGACGCGGTACAAGCGGTTGTACTGGTATGCCATGCTGTTGATATAGTTAGGCAGTGATGGGAGTCAAACTCAAGGAAACCGTTACTATCGACGGCAGTACATGTGCCAACCTCGAAACGGCTTCCCATGAGGTGTAATGGCAACCGCAACTGACTTGAGCAAGTCACCCAAAGTGCACTCTTAGTCATTGACTTTAAGGAAGGGAATTGATCATAGAAATTAGCGCTGGCAGCATACAGGTCACAGTAGGATCATATCCCGAGAAGATAAAGAAGGCATCTTATCCTGAGTAAACAGCAGATGAATGCTATGAAGCTCCGGAATCGATTCGCATACATCTGGCCGTTACTGGGGGCCCATTCGAGTGGAGCCCTTATTGTGAGTCTGTGGAGGGTAACTAAAATACCTTGTTGCTGAAAGGACAAAATTTCCATTATGAATAGCCACCGCTGGGCCTCGATGTGGCGCTTGTTCCAAAAGAAAGACAAAATAAGTATTACATGTTTTAATGGTTACATTATCAGCATTCACTATAGCATTGCTAGGTTACGCCGAATGGCTCCATTCTAGACCCACCAGCGGCACACTCAAGCATATAGGCAAGTGAGTTGAGGTCATGGCCAAAAAATTGGTCATGGAAGACAGCGGTTTACAGGCTATTAACTCAAATCGATTGGCATAGAGCATAAGAGCTGATGATGCCGAAGTTGCCCACTAATCTGCCACCGTGCGTCAGGTGGCTCCGGTCAATAGGATGTGGGTTCAGTTTGATTCAGTCAAAGAAATAGAGGGTAAATAAGAAAAATGATCAAAGCGCTGAAATGTCCGGATACAGTTGCCACGAATCGTGTTACCTAAGAAGCAATAAATAAGAATGGTGATAAAATGAGGTATAATGCAAAAGGGGCACAAAGCAAGCGGGTAAAACTGACCTGGATAGAATATTAACACTTAGATGTAAAAAGCCGGATGTAGGAGCGCGACTGAGTGTGCGGTTGTGCCATGTCTGATGGGGTCTCTAACCACTGGTGTGGACCATCCCGACACTCCCATTCACAGCAACGACACACACCAGCCCCTTCATGCTTTCGTGACACAGCATCAATCGGTGACCTCGCAATTTCATCCGGCCGTATGCACGTACTGCACATGCCGTGGAGGGCGATCATAAGGTATGGAGAGGATATGACCTAGCCAACGTAAGCCGTTCGAGTTCAACAGAAATTCCAGTGAACAAATGGCGGGCTTCATCAATGCTCACTCAGTGTTCCTACCAGATGTGAACAATACTCTGTAACCACCGGTGATAAAAGAAGGTCAAACCCTTAATATGTTGTCAGTTCAAAGCGGTCACGACCCTGATTCAAACAGTAACACCGGCATTACCGCAGTGTGTTGCAAGCTACCAGCTTTCACTGACAGGCTTGATATCCAGCCGCCTCTATAAATAAATAAATAAACCTTATTCCAGACTAAGTGAGACATACCCACGGAGGCATGATGATGTAGAAGCAAACATGTACAGCATTTGAATAACAAGTTGAACCGAGATTTGATAACTGGTCAAAAATTAACATATGAAAGGACATAAGTGACATGAACGAAACAGATTGCCTTTGCCACTTGCTTACTTCCGGTTATATGTGGTATGGTTTATGGAATATAGTCCAATGAATGAAAATTGTAGTCAAAAGGTCTGTAAACAGGATGACGGGACAAAGCTCAGCAAATACATGCAACGATGCAGTGTTATCAAGTTTAGTGGTTGGAATGATATCACAGGTGAAGAAGTTTCGTGATACATGCAAATTGTGTTCAAGTGTGCGCTGTCTATTCGCCGTTTAATCGAATTCTTGCTAATCGCAGTCGTCGCGTCACTCGACTTCGTGAAATGATGACTAGCTCCGGGGAACGATGAACGTTAGGCAATAATTTGTTTCACACTGGCGAGGGAGATCATGCATACGCTTTCAGAAGCATCCAGCGACTGGAACTCCATGAGAGAGGAAAGTTGGGAATCCAGAAAAAGTAAACAATAAAGAATATCCTTGAAGGTACGGTTCACTAGCGAGATGGCATAAAAAAACACCAAGTTAATTAGGAGGATCCATAGTAAGTTCCGTACTAGATAAGCGGCGCGAGCGATAATCCGGAGAATGCGAATGTAATTGGGGGTAATTATAATGGAATATATTTGGAACCGATCGGAAAGTCATCATTTCAGAAAACTTAGTAGACGACCGGTTAATGTATTTATGGTGATAGACAACGTTTCGCTTTTGACACAAAAGCTTCATCAGGCGAAGTGAATTAGCTTAACATTGGCATTTTTATAACGATCACGGCTAAGCTACATACAGAGGCGAATCAATTTGCAGTTCATCAATGCAAGATTACAACGGTCAAAGGTCACTAGGCTCGTGGTTGCACTGCAGCTTGTTTCAGTCAGGGTCAAATGGGGAAAAGAAATTGCTGGTCCGCGGATAGTTACATGTGCGGTTAACAATCTTAAGTGATCCGTTGCAAGAAACTTGGACATTGATAGAACTTGGCTTTAGTACTTCGGAATTTAGTGAAGGGTGGGTCGATAGTTCATTCCGATTCGGTATCCATCCACTGATGCTTATCAAGCTGGCCGGAGTAAGACTGGACGCCAGGCACTAGACAACCCTATTCCGTCTATTCTATTCACGCAGTTGTTAGCCTTGGTTATTTCTATAGCCTCAGCAATCAGTCTTTGTTTGGCTGATCGTAATCCCTTCCTGATAACCTCCACATTTTCGAAGTCAATTTTGTGCCCCGTGTCTAGCGCATGCATTGCTATTGCTGATTCTTTGAGTAGAGCCCTATACTCTAACACATTTCGCGGAGGTCGTGATATGTGTCACCTATATTCTGAAATCCTTGTACGTAATTCCCTCGCTGTTTGGCCTATATACACTTGCGTACAATCTTTACATGGAATTTTGTAAAAGCAGTTAGTTGTTCTATCTAAAGGGAGTGAATCCTTCAGATGCACAAGCGTGGACCGTAGTGTTTGACCCTTTTGGAAAACTACCCTTACCTTCTCGTTATAAAAATGCCAATGTTAAGCTAATTCACTTCGCCTGATGAAGCTTTTGTGTCAAAAGCGAAACGTTGGTAATCACCATAAATACATTAGCCGGTCGTCTACCAAGTTTTATGAAATGGGGTTAATTATCATTCAAGCGCGTAATGTTTTTCCGAAAATAGGTAGGGTTGAACCCAATTATTCAGACTCTAGGTAGGATGATTCCGAAATTGTAGTCTTAGAAAACTAGCTTTGCTAATACGCGAAATAAACCCTTAAGTGATGTGACAACTAGAAGTGGTGCAACCAACGTAGGTGAATACTGAAT